AATAATTAGATTGTTATATATCATCTAATGAAATATATTGATTCTCATATTTATAATAGTCTTACCTTGTTACTATTAGCTAATGAATAGTATCAGATTATAGAATAACTTCTAAATGACAAAGCCTCAAGCTCTTTTAAAATATCTAATGAAATATTGAAATACCTAGGATCATATACAAATATATTATTAATGTAAAATTGAATATTTATAAAATTTATTTCTATTATGATAAAAAAGATATTCTTATTAAACTTTCATAAAAAATTTTATTTCAATTTTAAATAGTATATCCTTTATGTAAAATTTATTTATAAAAAGAAAATTTCAAATACAAAAAAAGCAATGTATAATAAGATAATAATACTTGTATTATTTTATTATCTTTGTTTTTTTAGTTTCTTGTTCTTCTATTTTATGTTGTCACTGGGTTCGTTTTTGTTTATCTTAATGTCTAAGTTGAAAGGCTGTGGTAGCTGATTCTACACGTTGGAGTTTCTGACCTTAGGATTTTCTCTAAGTCCTACAGGTATTCGTTATATTTGAATCAACTTGGCAACTTATTACGTCTTAGAACTTAAGATATGTTAATTGAACTCGTAATGACGAACTCAATAGCAAGTTAGTGTAGTGTATCACAACAATCCTAGGTGAAGGACAATGTTGAAGGGAAAAGTAGTTTGTGTAGATTTAAATTAATTCCTTTATTTATAACTTGAAACTCGTATAAAACTTATAAACTTACAACTGAGTTTATAAACTTGCAAAAGAGTTAATTTACAACTTAAGCAAAAAGCTATTCTATTTATACAAAATTGACTTTACTACGGCTAGCTACTTGCTACGCTATAAATTAACTAAATATAGATATATATCTCAATAAAATATACTAAAATATAATAAAATAATAAAAATAATATAAATAATAAAAATAATAAAAAGAATAAAAATAAATTATAAACTTTAAAGAAATTATAAATAAAATAAAGTAAACAGATTAAACAGACTATTTAGAAAATACAGAAGAAACAAGCGAATCAGGTAAATTTTATAAATCCTTCAAATTAAATGATTTTTCAATGCAATACGTCAATCAAGATCTTCCTTAATATGATCTACATAAAATTAAATCTAATGGCTTTGTAAATCATTTTTCTAGGGCAAATTTTCAACGCTGATAATGTTTATTAAAAATCTTCATTATATATAATTATTAATTAGTATAATTTTATTTGTTAAAAGTAATATTATTAATAGATGATGAAAAAGATAAGAAAATTATTTCTTTTATTAAGTAAAAAAATTATAGTTCATTATTGATTTAAATGTGTAATTAAATTGTAGATGAATTAATATTTGTTAAAGGTATATTGTTATTAAATCTGTTAAGATTTATTAGTTATCTCTTAAACTATTGCTTAAACTATAGAGCAGGCAAATTTATTTGTAAACATAAAAAATATGTATTAATTTTTTAATAAAATATAAAATATTAATGTTAATAATATAATTATTATATAAAAAATATAATTTAATATATTTTTTATTAACTTTATTAGAAGAAATTTTAAGTTAATTAAGAAGTTGTTTAAATAATTTTATTTTAAATTTAAGTTTTAAAAAATTTATTATAATAATTTTTTGAAAATTTTTTTAAAATTCATATATTTATGAATTAATTAAATTATTTTACTATTAATAAAAGTCATAAAATTTCTTAATAAATTATAATAATTAAATTTTTCTTTATAATAAATTTTATAATATTCTATTATGATTAATATTACCAAAAATAAATATTAATAAAATAATCAAAGATCAATAATAAAATTTTTTAATTTATAATTTTTTAAAAATTATAAATATTCAAATTATAAATAATTTAAATTATTAAAAATAAAATTTACTATAATATTATATATATTTATAAAATTAATTTAAAAAAAATTTTTTAAAATTTTAATTTTTTATAAAAGTAAATTAGAAAGAAATTTATAATAAATAAGCAAGTAAATTTGTTTATAAAACTCTACAGTTTAAGAAATAATATAAAGAGTTTTTTGTGTTTTCAAATTACATCTTGAAAAGATAGAGAGTTTCTATAATATAATCAAATATGCATAAAATCTTTTTTTATAAGGTTGTAACAAAAATAATTGTTTGAAGTATATATATTAAGGTATTATGCATGTATAATTTCTAAGATTAAAAGAAGTTATAAAACTAATTTGATTTTTAATTATTTTCTTTTATAAGTATCAAAAGATTTCACTCTTGTATTTTTAAAATTATTCAATATGTAAAAATAGCAGATCAATCAATAGGTAATCAAGATAAAAGATGAATTATAATAGAGCTAAAAGAGTTACAATCTAAGACGCTTGTTATTTGTGTTTAATATATAAATGAAAAGAGTAATAATTAATAAGAAATTATAATATAAAAATATTTCAAATCAAGATAATTAAAATTAATATGAAAAGGATTTTTATTTAATTATTTTACTAACAAATCTATTTTATTATTGAATAAGTCGTTATTATGAATTTTGACTTTAATAAATATAATTAAAATTTTTTTCAAAATTAGAAGTAAAATAGTTGTTCATATATGAAATAAAAAATTTTAAAAGTAAGATTTAAAGAAAAAGAGGTTGTAAATAATTTAATAATTTTATGATATGAAATAATAGCAGTTTGTAAATCAATACAAATTTCAATATGAGTATTAATAAAGTAATATAAATGAAGGTAAGAATAATAACTATTTCAGCTAATATAAAAAAAAAGAAGTTAAGATTAAGAGTAGCATTAAAAAAAAGTAAAGACTATTTTTAATCAGTTTGTAACTACACAATTTTTATTTAGCAATTAGTAAAATCTAATAATGTAAAAAAACTATCTATATAAAATTGAAAAAAAATTATTAATAAATTAAGATTTTAAATTATCTAGTATAATAATAGATATAGAATCAAAAGGTAAAATTGTTAAATCATGTAATGGCTTAGTTAAATATTATTATAAAAAGATTAATTTGAAAAAGCTACTTCTTAAAACATAAGATGTGATAGGTTATACCATAATTTATTACAAGGTTTATAAAAATTTTAATCAAGAAACAGAGATATACAGGTAGTTTAATAATGTAAAAACTATAACTTTATTGTTATTTGTAAGGAATAAATGCTAAGGTATCAAATAATTACATCTAGTGTATAGAATAATAACTAATTAAAAATAAATATATCATTAATTTTATTATTTATTTTTTTTAATGAATACAGACAAATTATGCCTTAAGTCTTGCTCTACTTTTTTATTATATAGAATTTTTATTCTGGTATTTTATGCTTGATCAGTAGGTATTGATTTTGATTGAATGGTTTTATGCTCATAGTTATCGAAAACAGGATTTTTTCAGAAAAGAAGTATTTTGCATTGATCCTTGATTCTAAAGTTTCTTTTTTTCTGTTTTTCTTTCTTATATCATTACTAATATATTGTTTTTACAATCTCAACTGATAAAGAAAATTTCAAATGTTTCAGATTTTGCTAATGATTCAAAACTTGTACAAACATTATTTTTCTAAAAATAAAAAAGCATTTTTCATTACAATTTATTTAATATGATGGTATAATATTAATTAAAGTATACACAAAAGCTATATAAAACAATCAAAATTTATGTATAAATTTAGTGAAACTAATGATCTGTAAAAAGTTTCTATTTAAAAATAAAAACAGTTCTTAAATAACAAATTATTTATAGAAAATTGTATAGCATATATAAGAAATTACAAAATAGTTTAAATCAGAATAACTTATCAATTTGTTATAAAAATTTACAGAAAATAATGATGGATATTAATCAGATTCAGATAAATTACAAGCATAAAGGATAAGAAGAAGAATATTGTTTCTTTAATACCTATATTTCAAAATCCGAAAAAGCATTATAGTAAGATGACTATTGGTAAAACATCTTCTGAAACTCTTAAGCCTTAGTCTAAACATTGCAGGAAATGTGAAAAGATCAGCCATTATCAAAAATTTGCAACAGCCATTAATTTGTCTTATTTTTACATAAAAGCATTTATATTTCATTGTTTATAAATAGATTCAACAGTTAAATTGTCTAACAATTATTGATTAGATTGTTTTAATAGAACGCGTTGTATTAATAAGTAATTTGTATAACTAGGGAACGATTTCGAAAACCATTATTAAATCCGGAGCATAAGTGTGACGAAAGGGACCAACCACGTATCGACTCAAATTTTGAGCGGCGGACAGATGGACATTTTTCATTACTATCGCTCGTACATAGATAGTCCTTCGCTTATCCGGACTAATAACTGATGATCACATATCTAATCACGTGCGGGGCAACTGCCGGAATAAGTCAACTTTACCAATTATGATTTTAAGGCCGAAATAACTCATTTTTATTTCCCGGCAATTTCTCCCTTTTTTATTGTAACTTTATTAAAGTTTAAATGATTTAAAAAAGAAAATTAATTTTTTTTTAACAATCTTCTTTTTTATTTTAAAATGATCGGCAACCAATCAACGCTCGCGTGATTTTTGGTCAAATGGGTAAAAAATAAAAAACGGGGTGACAAATTTATAATCACGTAGATACGTCCATCAAAGGAAAATTTGCAAAATTTAATTTGCCTATAATTATCATTAACTCAATTTATAAAACGTGGTTTCCCATGAAATTCCACAAGGAGATGATTCATTTAATTACCTTTTTCCATTTCCGTAGAAGTTCATGTAATAATGTAATACAAATCACGAGCGTAGTAATCTGATGTTGAATCAAAGACTATCGCGAAAAAACGCGTACTTTTATACTTGTAATAATACGCGATTTTTTTATATTTAAATACGGTTTATTCTAATAAAGCTTCATTAATTTTTCTGTCCATTTCAAAACTTTGGGAATTTCAAACCTATCGCTTAAATTAAAAAACAAAAAGATTTTGCTAAACAATGGGTAAAACGAAAAGCGTAAATAAGCAGACGGTTTCGTCATTTTTTGCTTCGACAAAGGCTCGAACTGTAAATCAGAAGGAATCTAAAGTACGTTCTTATAGCTTTTTTTTTTTTTTTTTTAAAAAAAAAAAAAAGAAATATGTTATTGTATTTGATTGTTTTATTTTTTAAAAAAAATTATCGTTCTTGCTTTATAAAGCTTTTGGTGCCTTTGGCGCAAACTGCTTCGAGCAAAGCTCGTCAGAGTTTAAAGGTAAATTGAATTTAATTATCTATAAAGTTGTTGTTGCCAGAATGTATTATGATTAAAACTATTATTGATATATATGTCTTATATTTTTTAATTTCAATTCAGAGTGAATCTAAAGAAAACACAACTTCTAAACGCGCATCTATATTTAAACCGTCAAGTAAATCGGATACGGCACGTCGTCGCCGTGCATTGATTGAAAGAGTATGTATGAAGATCGTAATAAAGAATAATTATATATAAATATATAATTTATTATTATTATTTTTTAGGTTCGCGCAAAAGGACAAAAGACACTAGAAGAAACATTACAAGGCCTGGATCCTGTCAAAAAGAGACAAAAGACCATGCTGAGCCGATCTCGGGAAATTGCAAACTCTATTTCCTTGTATCCTCTTGCTTTACGAGTTAGTAATTAAAATTTAATAATATCACATAACATATAACCTTAACATATGCATAGTCTATATATATCAAGGAAAAAAACGGTCATGTTTGTTAGAGAAGTTGCAACAAGAATTGTAGAAAGTTCTGATGTGCCAATATCAGATTGTATGTATAAATTTAATAATCTTATTATTTATCTGCAATATTTTAAAAAAAATAAATTTTTTTTTTTTTTTGATTTTAAATCTTTAGACGAGGCAATAGAACATATTGAACTATTAACTAAAATTGCACCCAAGTGGTGTCAATTCTCTACTAGTAAAATTAAGGATGACCTTTTGAACGTCGACTCTTCAGTGCCAGCTTGGAAGGTTCGTGAAATTATTGAGGAAGGAGTAAAAAATTTTCAATGAGCAATAATCGTCACGCGCGCCAGGACGGTAAAAGTAAGTCCGCGAAGATAATTTTTTTATAATAATGTTAGCGGGCTATTTAGGAAATATATGCACGAAACATAGTATAGTAAATTCTGGTAATTTAGCTACACAAAATATATAATAAAATATAATAATAATATTCACACACTACTTTTTTTTAAAAAAAAAAAAATTTTAAAAAAAAAAAACATGAATTTGTCTAAGAGAAAAAAAAAAAATAAAAAGAAATTCTACAATTTTTAATGTCTAAATACATGTTTCAAATCCTCCATTCCTCGAAAAAGTAATAAAATATAAACAATTTAAATAACAAATTCTACTGGGTCGTTTAAATCAATATTCCAAGAAAAGAATGAAGGAAATGAAAGATTTTGGAGGGCTATATTAGAAAGTGTATCTATCAAGGTAATAGGGATAATGCAAAAAAAAGAAAAGAGGAAGGGAAATAATGACCTTTTCTCTTTTTCAAATTTTCATCCAAAGAAATGATATACTATACAATAATGGATGTATTATATACATATACGTATACGAAGATACATATACACATATATATAAAAAAAATAATAAATCAAATAAAAATAATGAAATAAAAAAAAAATGAATCGCCTCAATTGCTTCTATTGATGAACATTACGTGTGATAGTCTCATAATTATCGCTGTTACGTTTCAAGATATCGACAATAGGGCCTAATAATCGGACGAAAGCTTTCTTGCCTAACGTAGCAACCTTTAATCGACCTTTTGCAGTTATATTTACGGCACGGGGTTTGTTGTTAAGTAAAGCAAGCTCTAGAAAGTGTGAAAAGTTTTTTTTTAATTGTGAAAGATAAACGTATATATATATATATATATATATATAGAATTTTGTTAATATAAATATATATAATACCTCCAAAGTAATCTCCTTTTTTCAACCCAGGTAGCTCATGTTCAATTCCTCCTTCATCAATTTTTGTTACGCGAGCATCGCCAGATTCTATTAGGAAGAAATTATTACCAATGTCACCTTGTTTAATTACCAATTGACCATCTTCATAAATCGCGGACTCTAACGCATCAGCGATTTTATGCCTTTCATAAGGTTCTAATGACACTAGGATCGGAACTTCCTCGAGAAATGATTCATACATCTTACGTTTACGAGAAGTATTTTCCATTAAAATTCTTCTAAAAGTTACTCTATCAAGAGCCCAAAGTACCGAATCTGAGGTAGCAACCACAGTGGCCGCTCGTGGAGCATTGTACATTAAAGCCAATTCACCAAAACTACCACCGGGGCCATAATTATGAACTTTGTCTTGAACACCATTTTTCGAAACATAAACATCAAATGTACCAGTTTCTACTACATAAAAAAAGTCACCAATTCCACCTTGTTTAATAATCGCTTCTTGATTTAAAACTCTTTTTTCAACCATAGCATCAATAACGTCTTTATACTGCTCTTCATCAAGGTTTTTAAATAAAAAGTTATTTTCAATAGAAGTTTCTATCCGCTCTCTTTGTTCTTGTGTTTTTGGAATAATAACCTTAACATAATCTTTATCTAGACTAGGAGCCATTGATTCAGCGCTTACAGAAGTACGACGACCTCGATTATAGTTTATTGGAATAGCAGGAAGTTCACTTGGCTCGTCATCATAAAGCTCTTCTTCACTGTCAGGAAAGTAATCTGTTGTAGGTGTACTCGCCATTGAAGTTCTTGCAGAATAAAAGTCCGGTTCGGGCTCTTTCATTTCAGTATCGGATACGTCGGAATTACCATGCGAATGTTCCAATGGCGAAACTTCACCCATAATAACTTCTGATTGCTCCATTGTGAAATAATATATAAATATGTTTTTAAAAAGGAAGTAAGGTTCTTTAAAGATCTTTTGACTCCGTAAAAGTTTCGGATGTTACAAAGGAGGTTATTAAAAAAAAAGGAAAAAAAAAAAATTATTATACTTTTTAAAAAAAAAATTATATATATTATATATGGGTGGAGTCAGAGGTAGTTTTTTTGAGGAAAAAAAAAAAATCGAATAGAAGTTAATCTAAGAGAAAAAAGGTTAGTGTGTGTACATAATTCCGTAAAGAAAATAAAGCATGGCACTTGCATGGCAAAGACTTAGGGGAACTATTAACTTGCACTACACCATCTTTTGCATTATTCTATCACTTGATCAAAAAAAATTAAACACATGGCGTTACTCAATTGTTTTAATTTTTTTAGGGAAATTTTTTATTTTGACACAACATAAAATCAGAGAATATAGATTTGAATTTTATATTGTTTTTTTTTTGGAGTATCAAAAAAAAATCTCTGGTTTATCGTCTTGCAAAAAAATTTTACAGCTCATTAAGTTTGTCTCTTTATTTAATATAAAAAAAAAAAGGTTGTGCTACTAAATAATAAGATCCCTGATTTTCTAAATTAATATAAAATTGTTTTTTTTTTCTTTACTTATATACTTAAGAGGAAAAAGTTTTACTATACCAATACCTGACAAATAACCAACAAATCATAAAAAATAACATTTTTATTAAATCTTTTTCCTGTGTAAGTTACATTTGATAACACCGATAACATGGACATCGATGAACCAACATCGTCTAATAATTCCAACGATAGTGATGATGAATATGATGAAGAGGTAAAAAAAAAAAAAAAAAATTTATTTTTCATTCTCCAAATTAACCATTATCTTGATAAACTTGAATTGATAGGTTTCTTACATAGTGATTGACCTCGGTACTGAAGTAACATTAGACATGATAACAAACAATTTCGAAATCTTGAACAATATCAATCCTTCTTCGTTCAATTTCAATCAGAATCGTCATCATCAAAATCAAGATTCCTCATCAACATCGATTCTCACTTCACAACCTTCTAATACTAATAATAAAACTAGTAATCCTACTGTTTTGGCTCCTTCCTCAAAATCCTTTCATCATCACATCAAACCTTCAACAACGATTCACGAAAAAGAAGTTGAGACCTCTAATTCTATTAATAAAAATGAAAATAATGATATTGATTATTCATTAATTGTAAGAATAATTAATATATATATATATATATATATATCACAAAAAGTTCAATCGAGTTGGGAACCCTTTTATAATATTAGTCGAATTTGTGGGATAATACGTCCGAATGTGTGAACTTCGTTCGTTCTTTAATGCTTTGAATTTTATTTATTCTCACAGGGTTTAGATACAGATACACCTTATTTACGTATAGGTGGTATACATTTTAAAGGTGATTATGATGAAACTATTGGAACTGATTTAATATTTTTTCCAGAACCAGGTAATGTTAAAATGTTATATTCTGATCAAAAAGTTTTTAATTCCTTGTAATTTTAACCTTTCTTTTGTTATTCTTATATATCAAAAAAGATCCAATGAATTCAAGGCAACAAAAACTTACATATCAATGCCTTACAACAAAAAAGATAAAATTCTCTCAAGTGAATTTACAAGAGATTGATTTAAATACGACGAATGAATTAAATATTGAAGATGATGATAATGAGTGGGAAGATAATTATTCATTAAATAACAAACTAGACTTATTTAATATTAAGAGTGATCTTGAAGATGATGAAGAGGAGGACGATGGTAAAGAAAGCATTTCTTCTACTGTGGATAAAGGGAAAGGAAGAAAGGAATGGGATGAAATGGAAACGGAAAATTGTTATAAATAATGAATTTCTAACATCATTGAACAGACTGACATATATTGCATATTGATGATCTATTTAATATAAAAATTACAAGGAATTTTATGTAAGTGTAAAAAATAAATAAAATCATTAAATTAATAAATTATCTTTCCCAAACATAATTATTAATCAAGTTATCATAATATCTAATTCCCTCGATACTTTCGTCTCTACAAATAAGCCCTTTGGCTTCCACCATCTGTTTAAACCAAAAACATTTTTTGAAAAAAATTGCAATTGAAATAAGAAAAAATAATAAAGCGGTTTTTACATTATAACTTACCTGCAATTGTTCATTTACCAAGACTACACTCTTTTGCTCTATTGAAGCCAATTCAATGGCACTTAATGATCCCTTTAACTGAATACATTCTAAAATACGCTGTGCTATTTGATCATCACTATGGGTCAGTAAACGCTCATTAAGAATAAAATATTTCAAATATAAATGTGTGTGTGTGTGTGTGTGATATTATTGACAAAAGGATATCTGACTGAATAACCAATAACCCACTTTCGTATTTTCTCAATCTTAGAGGTAAACTTAATCGTTCAAATAAAGAACAAGCTTTATATAAATCGTTAGGAGATATCAATGCTATTAAATACGCAAAAGGAAATCAATAATGAGTATAATAAATATTTGAATTATGATTTTTGATTTCCGCTTACCAACTCCCCTAGCCCTATTAAATATACAATAAATGTCCGTCAAAGACATCATTCCGTTATCTTTATCCAACGTATTTTCCAAGAATTCTGCGAGTTCTCTTGCTAATTCTTTATGATATATTGAACCGGCTTCATCTCTAAAAAAGAAAATTTGAATTTGAAATTCCCTTTATAACCTAAAAGAAAAAAAATTGTTTACCATACTTTGTTACGGGATTTGAAATACCAAGTTTAAACAGATTGGCTCTAAAAGTGGAGACTTCATCTGCAGAAGCTTCTGATTCCGCCGATTCCTTATTCAATCCATTAATAATAGTTTGAGCAAGATTAACCTAGAAAAAATAAAGTAAATAAAGATGTACAATTTATTTTAATATAATTATTTAACGACAAAATTTAATAAATGAAACATATGTAATATACCATTTTTTCTGTTATCGTTTTCAATGATTCTAAATCCTTGAATGCTTGATTCAGATATTCGTCTTGTTCCTTGTTATGCTCTTCAGCATTACGCATTATACCACCTAATCAAAAGAGAAAAAAAAATTATTAAATTAAGACGCGAGATTTCAAAAAGTTATTATTGAATAAAAATTTGTTATTTACTAATTCCTCCACGAACGGGGTCAAAATCTGCAGGAGATTTAAAAGATTCTACCGTGTTCTAAAAAAAAAAAAAAAAAGAACTTAAATTTAGAAAAGTCAAGCCGATTAAATTAAGAAAAGCCAGTATAATTTAACCCTCACCTCCCATTCTTTCATAGTCATTGCTTGTTTCATTTTATCATAAAAAGTGCCAGCGCCTCCATTACGAAAAGCTAATTTAATAAAATCATCTTTACTTTTAACACCAACTCTACTTCCCAAAATTTCTTCTTCATTAATCTTCAATCCATCAAGATTAACAGTTCCTAAATCGGCGTCACATATCTCACATATGATCATACTTGGATGATTTAAAAACGTGCATTTTGGACATGCTATACCAGTATCACCTTGTGTTTCATTAGATGGTGAAGTTGTAGTTGGTTTTATTTGTTGTTGTGAGGAATCAGAAGTATTAGATGGAGATGAAACAGGTGGGGATGTTACAGAAGCGAGATCCTCGGATTTTTTCACACCACAAAGTTGACATTTAAAAATTTGTGGTGTATTGGAATAAGAACAAATTGGACATATCCAAGTAGATGTACTTGATAATGTAGAAGTAGATGAATTATTAAGTTGATGATAAAATGGTGTGGAGTTATTATTATTGGAATCTGAAAATTTTAAAGTTATTTTTGGCGAAGATTTGACAAATCCTGTCTATGTATTCAAAGATGTAAATTAAAAAATTTAATTGTAGGGTATGTTAAAGAACTTCATAAAAAAAAAAAAAAAAAAAATTTAATAAAAATTTCCTTACGTAAAATTCTCTACCCTTAATAAATCTAATTTCAACTACGATAGAATTGGTATTTGGTTGTTCGGAATCAACATAAACAATCCTATGTGAAGTTAAATAAACTTTACCATTCATATATCCAGCTGCTTTTTCGTTTCTATAGATTCGATTCATCACAAATTAGAAAAGAATTAATTAATACGTTGAAATAATAGAAATTTAAATACCCATCATAAAGTCCAACATTATCTTGTATTGCAAGAATCGTTTCTCCTTCATTCAAGACAGGTCTTAAAGTAGAAGTTAATTCTACGCGTACAAAACGATCCATTATAAAAAGTTATCAGATTTTCGGATGAAAAAGTTATATATATATATATATCACTAGTTATACAAAGCTGAATGCATCAATTATCACATCCTAATTATAACATATAGGAAGAGGAAGCATTTAATATGCAAATAAAAATAAACGTGAACGGTTTATGTGTATTTTTTTTGTGTTACGGCGGAAAAATTCAATTTGTATAAATGCAGATCGATGTACCAAGAACCAAAGCACAGTAAGCACAGTATCATATATATATAAATTTTTTTTTTTTTTAAAAAAACGGTTTTTATTTTTCAAACTTTTATTTTACATTTAGTTATACATTTTTTAAATTAAGAACCATAAGAATGAATTTTTTAAAATGAATAAGAATTCGCCTTACCTAACATTAAAGAGCCTAAAAATAGTAATCACATGACTTACGATACCTAATGCACAAAGTATATCTCTTCGATCTAATCAGTTATTAAAGAAGATATTTTCCAAATAAAAGCAGAGAATTATAACGTTCTTATAATAGAATGATACTTTCAATAATACTCACAAGGAAAGTTTTGCATCTCCATGAAATACTTTTTTTTTGAAATTTGGCCATATATAGCATTAAATGTCTGTTCAAAGGAAAAATATTTAAAGGGGGAATTTTTTTTTTAAAAAAAATTGTTTATTTAAAAAAAATCGCTGGGTGAAAAAGTATGTGCATTGTATGTTTGATTTCCTAACTTTGAAAATAATACAAGAAAAGGAACCAGATAAACGAAATTAGCAAAAATTTATATATAGTCGAACAATGCGTGTTTGTAAAAAGGCATGAACAAATTTAAAAAAAAAAGCTCTCAGTCCTTTTAACTGAACCCAAGACCTATATTAAAAAAGGGTGAGGAACATAGGGTGTATATATAATAAAATTAGCTACTGTTGAATTGTACATGGCAAAAAAAAAAAAAAAAATTAAAATAAAAAAGGTAAAAAAAAAACGGAAAAAAAAAGAACTGATTAATCAATTCATCTAATTAAAAAAAAAGGGGGGGATGTCAGCATATATGCACAAGAAGAAGGTGTAATAAAAAGGGATTAGATACAAAAAAAAAAAATATTTCACAGTAGGCCAAGGGTCCAGGTTAATCCGGGATAGAGAGCAGAATTTACTTTATAGAAAGTCTAAGAGCAAGCATTTTGTTCATCAATTGACATCAGTGAGAAGCTGTTTTTCCAGAATATATTTTCCCTCCTTATAACGTTGACTCTGCTCGTACGCTCTCTCCTATATCAAGAGAATTGAATTAACGTATAATAGAAAAGTGCGAATCAACGACCAAAAATTATTGGTATATGAAATGGAAAACGAATAATAAAGAATATTTCATACATATTTCCATCCCAGTACGGATCGACAGCGGGAGCAATGTATATCCTTAACAGTATGCAGGCCAGTAGTCATGTGGCGGTCTTCAGAAGGTCCTTCTTCCACATTAACTCTTCAAAAAAAAAAAAAAAATTAGAGTATAAATTAGCTATGAAGTTACTACAACTTACTTTAACAAATAGGGAACTCACACAGTATCAAAGAGATAAGCACGACCATGTTGACCTTGAAATGCCTATGACAAAATTAAGATTAAAGTTACTTCAAAATGCTCTTTAAAAATTCGGAAATTTACTTAAAACAGTACTAGAACATAAAAAAAACCTTTGAAATAATGCTATCAGTTGTAGAGAGGTGTGTTCGACATTTATTGCATCCGAAAATGCGGTTACCGTTCAAATAAGTACGATAAGTTAAACCCATTTCTTAATGAACTTATTTCAATAGTAAGAAAAGATCCTCGCTTTTTATTTTTATTGACTTTTAAAAAAAAAAAGAAAAACAGTAGAGAGGCAGTAAAGGGATGAGGGAGATATACAAAGCCAAGTATTTTTGCTTCTACACGCTCCTTATAACTAGTGTCTTATTGCATTTGAAGGGTGAAAATAAATGGAAAGGAGCTGCAGGGCAGGTGAGTCGCTTTTTGAAGACTATGATATATATTAACAAAATGATATAATCAAAGAAGTATCCGATAATGACAAGTCACACATGCACAAGTATTTATGCCAAACCTATTTTTTCCTTTACTATGTTTAATTCGATTATTTTTGGTGTTTCTTTACCAATAATTGTACAGAGTTTATCAAAATATATATCTCGAAAAATCGAGTACCTTATTATTTATAAAAAAAAAAAACCAGTCAACCCTTAGTCAATCTTTCCCAATCTGTGAGATAATATAAGAAATCACTTTACATCATGATCACATGAAATCATCAAGGAAATTTGAAATAATGAATGATTAATAAATTTATAAATTTTAATCCATCCAACCAGCTCTATCTGATCTTTTATAATTAATTAAAACATTTCGAAGCAGTTTTGCTCATAGTTAATAATAATGGTGTTGATTTATCTCTCATATTATAGGTTTTGTGATACATGATGGGTTGTCCTACTAAAACTTGCTTTTACCTGTTATATAATGGCGCATGATGTTAATCGCGAAATTTTTTAACCTTTTGACCGAAACCTGAATGTTTCGCGTTTCATTAATAATGATCAGCTGATTAATGATAGCTTATGTTTTTTGGAGGCGTGTGTAATGCAGGGGCGAATACTAACCCAACATTTGCTAAGAATAAATTCTCACTATATATACTAAATGTTACGCAAATTTTATATATAGTTACACATATCTTTCCAAATGATAAAGATTGGGCATTTTATAACTTTATTTTCAAACTAACTTTATATGTAACTAATTTTTTTCAATGATTACAAAAAGATTAAATTACAAATAAGTTAATTTATATTTACTATTGATTAATCAAAATTATAATTATTTATAGTAAATTATAAAATCTGTTAAAAAATAATAAATAAATTTCAACTATAAAAACTATAATGAAAATATTATTAATAAAATCATATTATAGATCATATAATTTACTATATTTCATTATTTAATTTATTAATAATATTCTTATATTATTAATTTATAAAAAATAATTTATATTTTTTATATATATAACAATTTTTTAAATTTATAAATTTTTAAAATATATTTTTAAAAAATTAGAAATTAATATTATATTATTAAAAATATATTATTTTTTTTAATTTAAATAATATAATAAATAAAAAATTTAAAATAATTAAAAAATATATATATATAATATTATTAATTAAATTTTTTAAATAAATAATTATTTTAAAATATAAAATATTATTAAATACTTTAATTTCTTATAAATTTAATTAATTTATTTAAAATTATATATAAAATATTTAATAATATTATTTATATATATATATAGTATATAATTTAAATTATATTTTAAATATTATAAATAGCTAATATAATATAATTATTATATTAGTTTCAAATAAGTTATAAAAATATAATATATATTATTATTTACTGTAAAACATTAATTAATCTATCACTCTTATGTAAACTACTCTCTTAGGATTTTGAATTGAAAATTTATAAAAAAATCAGAATAATATATATGAGTTTAGATTTGATAAAATATATAAAACAAATCAAAAAAAATTATTTTATTTAAATTTATTATTTAAAATAAAAATTAAAATTATTTTAATTATTGTATTCAATTTCTATTATTACTATTTTTATCTAATTCATTTTTTTTGTATAAAATCATCTTAATTAAAAATTATATTATCTTCTATAAATCAGTTTTAACTTAAGTATCATAATATTTAAATAATTTATAAATTAAATTTAAATTGACTTTTATCATGCAATTTTTATCTATGAAAATATTAAAAAATATAATTATTTTTTAATCCATATAGCTGAACTTAATTTATAAACTTTATTTATCATCTAATCATTATAAAATTTGCAAAATTTATTAAAAAAAAAAATTTTAATTTTGTATTATAATAAATAATAAATATAATAATTAAATAACTAGGAAATAATTTCAGAAATTATTATTAAGTCTAAAACATATATGTAATAAAGGAACTAATCACGTATTAATTCAAATTTTAAGCAAACAGATAGTATAATATCTGTATTATTTAGCATAGACATATATATTCCTTCACTTCACTTTGGACTATAATTAATACTCATATTAGATTTAAACTTTTATTGATTATTACATTAAAATTGTAATTTAAATATTAATGCTTTAGGTATTCTACTATATTAATATGAAACTCATTTAATTTATTTAATAAAATTAAATGAGTAATTACATAAAAAATTTAAAATAAGAAAATATCTTGAATTTAATAATTAATCAAAAAATATTTTAAATAAAATATTATCATTTTACCAATTATTTCTTTTTTATTTATCTAGTTTTTTTCATTAGTTTTAGTAAATATACTATCAGAAAACTCTTCTTTAAATTTATTTTTTAATTTAAATAATAACAAAATGTAGTTTTAATTTATCAATCAAATAATCTAATATAACTATAAATATAGTTCTTTTATATTCTGTAGTTTTAATATTAATTATATAAGAATCATGCTTTTTAAAAGTATAAAGATTAAGTAAGTCAAAAGAAATATGAGTTTTAATTATGATTGCAATAAATTGAAAGAGATAATCATATTGTATTCTTTTATAAAGAATAAAACTTAAAATCTTTATTGTTTTTTAAGTAAATCTTTTGATAAGTATTGAGTTATAATTATTTTTGCTTATTTAAAAATTATGACAGACTATAAAGTAATCTACTGGATAATACTCTTATAAGAGTGTTATCCAGTTACGCTATAATATTATATAGTTATGGGTATAATGTTACCTAGTTACTGTTTTTACTGTTCTGTGGCCATTTTATTACTTTATTGATATCTATTTATTTTTATTGCTCTGTAGTTTTTTTATTGCTTTGTGGATATTTGCTTAATTTTATTGCTCTATCCTATTTTTATTACTTTCTAGCTATCCACTTGTTTTCATTGCTCTGTGGCTTTTTTGTGGTCAAGATGCTAAGTCAGCATTAATTTTTAAAAATCATGTTGTAATCGGATGGCACAGTTAATTTGCAGATCAGATTTTGGCCAGCATTATAGCATAATTTCTGGCCAATCATTAGGGCAGAATATCTTGGCTTTCTGTGATTAATTTTATGCGGTTTTATGGTCGTTTGAAAGAGAGCGTTGAGAGCTTTCCAATGATACTAAGATCGCATAAATCGGATGTCTGAATACCAAGTTATTGCGTCTCAAATTTTTGGAAAAAAATATGAATTAGTGCTGGCCGAAATTAACGAAATTTACTGCGCCAATCACGTGTTCGGTTCCTCACCAGTTCCAGGCACTTTCCCGTCACTTTTCCATCACTTTTAAGTAACTTTCGAAGGCCTGATTTAGTGGTCAGTTGGTTAGAGAATCAGAGGTGTGATAGACATTATTATGGCCAGCTCATTTGATTGCCGGATGAGATACAAAATGCTGAATTTACAATCCATCTATTTGCTAAAGATATGTTGCAATCTATTCACTCACTTTTTGATTGCCAGTGAGACACGAAATGCTAATGTTGTGCTATTCTTGCAATCCCGTCTATGACTATTTTAATTGCCGAGGATGAGACACAAAGTGCTGAATTAGTTTAGGCTATATTGCTTTTATACTTTTTTTCGTATATTCTTCTGAACTTTTCTACCTTCTCGACCTCTTTCCTACCTATCGGTGGTAGTACCCCAAGTTATAATTTCTTATTTTCTTTCCTATATATTATTCTAACTTGGGGTACTACTAATTTTATATCTTATTTTTCATTCCTGCCTTTCTAGAACCCTTTCTCGTATAGTTACTACTCTGGGATACTTTAGGATACTATCACATTGACCACTTTGGAGTATTACCACATTGATCACTTTGGAGTACTACCACATTGATCATTTTGGGGTACTACCACATTGTTTACTTTCTTTTGGCTTAGCATTGGATACTACCACTAACCCAGTATTTTACTAGCAAGCATATTCGCTCAAAATTATATAAAATTTTTATTTTGAACTTTGCTAGTTTCTCTGTTATTTTATACTAGTTTCTTGTATATACTATCATGCTACTTACACAAAAAAAGCCTGGGTTGAGCCCTAAAATAATAAATAATATAATCAGGTTCTTCTCTGGTTTAGCAAACCTTGATTATAAACCTGGTTATGATAATCATGTGTATTTTCAATATTTGTCCAATAATAAAAATGATATTTCTCTTCTAGGAGCCTATCATCCTGAAGAGATTTATTCATAATATATAGTCTGAGTATCAGGAAAGGATTTTACAGTAATTAATCATTCATCTGAAGTTTATGGATTACCTGATACTTATAAGTGCATTGATGGAAATTTGCCTCTCCACCTAGTTCTAGATATTGATGTGAGGCAGAATCCTGATTCTATGAATCCTGAACTCCCTTTCTTAGATAAATATAAAATTTCTTGTGAAGATTTATTATACAGGATCTTAATTGTCTGTGTTAATATTTTATATTTTGACTTAAAACATTTTGTAATATTAGATGCTTTTGCTTTAACCAGTTCATCTAATTCTAATAAATGTAGCTGGTATATCGTGTATAAATATACATAATTCGTTGACTACAGAAACCTTAGAAGATTTGTGAAAAAAGTTGCTGATAGGGTTGGAAAACTATATTCTGAATTTATTGATCTTAGGCTTTATAAATCACGTTTTAGTCTTCAGCTTCTTGAATCAGTAAAGGAAGATAGAGTTAAAAGACCTGCGATTTCTT